TTTTTCTATTAATTTTAGCATGAATGAATGTTCCTTTATCGGTTGACATTCAATTCTCGGCAACTCTACTGACTGAACTTCCATTATAAAAAATAAAAATAAAAACAAAAACAAAAACAAACTTGCACTACTATTGGTTAGCCCAAAGCCTCTAAACTAATTCTTTTTTCTTTTTTTTTTTAGTTTCTGGTTTTCTTTTTTAATAATCACTTTTTTATAGCCAAACAAATATTATTTTTTATTTTAATTAAAAATAAATATTTTATCATTAAAAATATTAAGATATCTAATTTAATAAAAATTAAAATTTATATTGTATTAATATATTTAATAATTATGATTAAATATTTTAATTTTTTCTTTTCTCTTTAATTAAATAATGGAAGACAGTTTTTTTTCTTTTTTAAAAAAATTTTTTTTTACCCTATCGATATAATTTAAAATTTTACTTATAATTGAATACAGAATTTTTTACGGTTCTTGTACTTAACTTTTTTTTTTTTTTCCTGATTTAATAGGACCTATCTCCTTTGACCAGCGGTCTTCAAACATGCACAGCACTGCATTCTCTCTTTCTTTCTTCTCACTTTCCATCTCTATATATAATCTCACTCTCTCTCAGTCTCCTTGCTTGCTTTCTTTTCTCTCTTGCCAAATAACAAAGCTAGTCTTCTCCAACTCATAAATCTAAAAACGACATTGTCAGATTTTCGAGACCTTAAAAAAAAGTTGAAAAAGGTTATTCAGATTTCTTATTTCATTCACCTCAGATTTTCCTCCCCTCCCCCCTGTTTCTCCCTTCTCTTCCAATGACACCATACCCTGAAGCAGAGTCAGCTTAACCTTTAACTGGAGTCAAAATCACTCTCCCTACTCTTTCATTTTCGATTTTCCATTCAGGGTTTGCCTTGGTTTTGAGCTGCAATGGCTGAAACCCCGGAGGGAAGGTCGGTGCCGGCGCCAGAGAAGAAGAAAGAACAGAGCTTGCCATTTTGCCAGCTGTTTTCTTTTGCAGACAAGTACGATTGGTTGTTGATGATCGCTGGTAGCCTCGGTGCTATTGTCCATGGTTCTTCAATGCCTGTCTTCTTCTTGCTTTTTGGTGAAATGGTTAATGGGTTCGGGAAAAACCAATCTGACTTGCCTAAAATGACCCATGAAGTAGCCAAGGTTTGTTCTTTCAATATTACCCAACTGAATCAGAATCCATATTCACTTGGATAGATCTAAGATCTGATTTTTCTCTTGTTTTTTGGCGTTCAATCTGATGCAGTATGCACTTTACTTTGTTTATCTTGGCCTCATCGTATGCTTATCATCCTATGCAGGTACGCCATTATTTTCTCTTTCCTTCTTTTTTTTTTTTCCTAAAGCATAAATTTTGAAAGCAAACAGGCACATAACATGGACGGTTCACACAGAGTTATTGCACCATGGCTCGGCGAAGGTGACTCATGGAGCCAATTCACACCGGACCGGTGGCTATGAGTCCACGTGATCCTTGGACTGTGTCTTTGTCCTTTTGCCGATTCACCTGTCAATCTCAATATTTCTTAGCATTTTCTTCTAAACTTTTCTTAACATCATATCTAATCCCTCAGGCACATCCCCATCACAGTATCTTTGTTTCTGACAATTTGATTTTACCCAATTATTCTGTTTTTATTAGTATTATTACTGTTCTGTTAATTAAACTGTTAAAAAGCTGAAATTTTTACCATTTGATTTTACCAGAGATTGCATGTTGGATGTATACTGGGGAGAGGCAGGTGAGTACCCTAAGGAAGAAGTATTTGGAGGCGGTTTTGAAGCAAGATGTTGGATTCTTCGACACTGATGCAAGAACTGGGGATATTGTCTTCAGTGTCTCCACAGACACCCTTCTTGTCCAAGATGCCATTAGCGAGAAGGTGTGTCGATTTTCTGGGTTTTCTTTGTTCCAACTTTCCTTCTCTGCAATTTTTTCTGTTTTTGTGTTTATCTTGCAACAGGGTAATCTGGGTTTGTTGGTTATGAACCAATGCGGTTCCCTTGTCTGATTATTCGGTTGCATCTTTTCCGGCGCAAGCTAGCATGTATATGTTAACGTGCGCCTGCCTGGTTTGGAAGTTTTATTTATATTTTCAATATGATACATAAATTTCTTGTTTTTCTTTGTAAAATTTTAGGTTGGGAACTTCATACACTATTTATCAACTTTTCTGGCTGGTCTGGTGGTCGGTTTTGTATCAGCATGGAAGCTAGCACTGCTCAGTGTTGCAGTGATCCCTGGTATTGCTTTTGCTGGTGGCTTGTATGCATATACTTTGACTGGCCTCACATCCAAGAGCCGGGAATCCTATGCAAATGCTGGCATAATTGCTGAGCAGGTGATGATTTTGTTGCTTTTAGTTATATGTTGGCCTATATTGCTTGTAAAACTGTTTCTTTTTGGATGAAACATTGAGTTGCCATCCATTGTTATCTGCTTCATTATATTTTTAATGATGTGTTTGTTTGACTTTCTTGCTAACATGATTTCATGTAATTGGATCCTTTGCACTTGAACACTTTAGATGGCGCCTTGGTGCATCAAATGATGTTTCTATCTGTGCAACACTCAGAGCTTCTTTTTCTTTTAATCTAACTTTTTATGAACAAGAAATGTTGGATGAAATTTTATAGGTGATCTCTAAGTTTTATTTTGGTTATTTAAAAAATTAGAATTTAAGACATTATCTTGTAGGATTTTAGATTAATGATCTCTAAGTCCACAATTGTCTTCGCAGGCCATTGCACAAGTTCGAACTGTTTACTCATATGTTGGTGAAAGCAAGGCCCTCAATTCTTATTCAGATGCAATTCAGAATACACTGAAACTTGGATACAAGGCTGGGATGGCCAAAGGTTTGGGACTGGGGTGTACTTATGGCATTGCTTGCATGTCATGGGCCCTTGTTTTCTGGTATGCTGGTGTTTTCATCAGGAATGGACAGACTGATGGGGGGAAAGCATTTACTGCAATCTTCTCTGCCATTGTTGGTGGCATGTAAGATCTCACACTCATCCATCTATTTTTTGTGATTATAGATGAACTAAGCTTTACCGAGGATAATGATGTAAAACTTTATGATTACAGGAGCTTAGGCCAGTCATTTTCAAATCTTGGTGCATTTAGCAAAGGCAAAGCTGCTGGTTACAAATTGATGGAGATTATCAAGCAAAAGCCCTCCATAACTCAAGATGCCTTGGATGGAAAAATCCTCTCTGAGGTTAATGGAAATATAGAGTTCAAGGATGTAACTTTCAGCTACCCATCAAGACCAGATGTCATCATCTTTCGTGATTTCTCAATATTCTTTCCTGCTGGAAAGACTGTTGCAGTTGTTGGTGGTAGTGGGTCAGGGAAGAGCACTGTTGTCTCTCTTATAGAGAGGTTCTATGATCCTAATCAAGGTAAACTAAGAAGCTCTTCTTCTTATGTCTGCAACTTTTTTGTCCTCCATTGATTGATCATAGATGTGAATATGATGTGTTTCTTTTTGACTAAACAGGGCAGGTGCTGCTTGATAATGTGGATATAAAGACATTGCAACTAAAATGGTTACGTGATCAGATTGGGCTGGTAAACCAAGAGCCAGCTCTCTTTGCAACTACCATCCTTGAGAACATACTTTATGGCAAGCCTGATGCAACAATGGATGAAGTGGAAGCTGCTGCTTCTGCTGCGAATGCTCACAGTTTCATTACCTTACTTCCTAATGGTTACAACACCCAGGTGAGTGCATATCAGCCAGTTTATAGTATTGCAGTTCAAACATAATTTATGGCTAAACTTTGTTATATACACACTTCAATGCAAAATCAGGTGGGAGAGCGGGGAGTCCAACTATCAGGAGGCCAAAAACAGAGGATTGCAATTGCTAGAGCTATGTTGAAGAACCCTAAGATCTTGCTCCTTGATGAAGCAACTAGTGCCCTTGATGCAAGCTCTGAGAGTATTGTTCAGGAAGCTCTAGATCGTCTCATGGTTGGGAGAACCACTGTAGTCATTGCACATCGCCTGTCAACCATTAGAAATGTTGATTCAATTGCTGTTATTCAGCAAGGGCAAGTTGTTGAAACAGGAACACATGAGGAATTGATTGCCAAGGCAGGGGCATATGCTTCATTAATAAGATTTCAAGAAATGGTGGGGAACAGAGACTTCTCTAACCCATCAACTCGTCGCTCACGTTCATCACGTCTTAGTCATTCCCTCTCAACAAAGTCCTTGAGCCTTCGGTCTGGCAGTCTGCGAAACTTGAGCTATTCTTACAGCACTGGTGCTGATGGAAGGATAGAGATGGTCTCAAATGCGGAGACGGACCGGAAAAACCCTGCACCTGATGGCTATTTCTGCCGTCTTCTCAAGCTAAATGCTCCTGAATGGCCCTATTCTATAATGGGTGCTGTAGGATCTGTGCTTTCTGGCTTTATTGGACCAACTTTCGCTATTGTGATGGGCAATATGATTGAGGTCTTCTACTACACAAATCCTACCTCCATGGAAAGGAAGACAAAGGAGTATGTTTTTATCTACATTGGAGCTGGTCTTTATGCTGTTGTTGCATATTTGATTCAGCATTATTTCTTCAGTATTATGGGAGAAAATCTCACAACAAGAGTACGAAGGATGATGCTTGCAGGTACACATTCATGCTATTCCTTACATTTATATTTCTCGTGGCAAATTTTTTCTGCTTTTCAATATCTGTATCACCTACCAATAATTACTGAATTACATGTTTAATTCATATATATACATATATATATTTATATGTTGTTTTCCTTTTCTTCAGCAATTCTGAGGAATGAAGTTGGATGGTTTGATGAGGAGGAACACAATTCAGGCCTTCTTGCAGCTCGGTTGGCAACTGATGCTTCTGATGTCAAGTCCGCCATTGCTGAGAGGATCTCAGTGATTCTGCAGAACATGACTTCACTCCTCACCTCCTTCATAGTAGCTTTCATAGTTGAATGGAGGGTCTCCCTTCTCATCCTTGGTACCTTCCCCCTTCTAGTTCTTGCCAACTTTGCCCAGGTAAGCTCCTACTCTTCATCAATTACTTGTTCAAGTTTTCCATTTTGCAAACTAGTTAAAAGTAAAAACAAATGCAATCCAATCCACTTTACAGAATACTACTATTTTGACTATTATTAAATTCGTTGTTCCATTTTTTCGTACTTGAAAACCCTGACACCTTGTTACTAAGGCAAACTTTTGCATTTTCTCCCAGAAGGGCACATAGGTGTAACTCAGATTAAAGAACATTTTGTTACAAGTGTAATTTAAATATATATCTCTTTCTGTATTCTGACTCAGGATTCCAACTTCACTACATTTAACCGTTAAAGGACAAAAGCAAAATGAAAATTTTAAAAAAATCAGCATGCCAACAACCAGCTACAGTGCACGTGCTTCCTCAAAGTCTGGTGCATTAACTCTTCGAAAACAACGAAAGAATCAAATATAATATAACCCCATAGATAACAGTGAACATATATAATCCCTAAGATTCCATGACCACCCATGCTAGTTGTGTTACTTGGTAGAAGGGTTCTTGTTAACTTGTTTTCTTGAGACTATAATCTCTTTTTTTCGGTTTTCTTCTCCTAGTTAAAATTTCAGCCTGTCTAGTATCTCTCTCTCTCTCTCACTTTCTTTTCTGCCTTAGATTTTTCATCCAGAACAAACACTGCACCATGCAGGTATGCATCAGTTAAGGTACCCTATTATTTTCCTTGGTGTATGAGCTTGGTAGATGCCTCCAAAACATTTCATATTTCTCAGAGATTCTTAGCCCGTGATCTTATTATTTTGAAAGATATGGTTTTGTATTTATTTCATGGAGGGTGTCAGGTTTGTGACAGTCAACAGTGGTATGTCCATGACTGAGAGATATAAAGTCCCCTGCAAAGTTGTTTGCTAGGTGATAGGTTGCGCAGGATGTTCATATGCATTCCAAACCACCTTTTGCATTATTGCCCCAAAGATTTAAGGCTGAATTTATTGTAGGGTTTTTGGAATCTAGGGTGTGTTTTGGACTTTGTGTTGGACAGTGCTCTGAAATGGTTCATGCTTGATTAAACGGTCAGAGAGAGGACTAATAGAAGGTTGAAATTGAATGTTGTCATCACGTACTTGTCCTTGCCTTGTAGGAGGGACACTGTTCCTTTTCAGTTAACTTTGTTCGGTTCTGGTTGTTGGTCCCACCCTATTTGAAGCTATATAGAACAAGTAATTGTTGATGACTGGAGAAAAACTCTGTTTTCTAAGAAGGAGAAAACAACTACGACTGAAATTCTAAATGATATCATGAGCACATTTAGGTTGTTGCTGTACATTTTTTTATCATGGGAAGACATGGACTTGGTTTTGAACAGTAAAATGAAAAATAAATAAATAAATAAATGGTTGTCTTGGTGGAATTTTTCTTTTCTTTTCTTTAATTTTCAATAATTACAAATGTTGGATGGAAAGTTTTATTAAGTTCCAAACTAGGAAGGAGAAGAGGAAAAGCTAATGTGTTGAGTTTTGAATAATTTATCTTATCTTATTTGTATATTAGCCTATTTGTCTTCTTTTTTTCTTTTTTTTCTTTTAATTTTTAAATCGTTGTAATCCAACTTAAATTTACCTCAGATGACAGATTTAGAACAAATGGTTATTCAAATTTAGAATTTTCTATCCATTTGATAAGTGCAATTTCCAGGCTGTTAATTCTGTTATTTTCTGCATTACAGCAACTCTCTCTGAAAGGGTTTGCAGGGGATACAGCCAAGGCACATGCAAAGACTAGCATGATTGCTGGTGAGGGTGTAAGCAATATTCGAACTGTTGCAGCCTTCAATGCACAGAAGAAGATCCTATCACTGTTTTGCCATCAGCTCCGTGTCCCACAGCTCCAAAGTCTTCGCCGCAGCCAAACAGCTGGCCTTCTCTTTGGCCTATCTCAGCTCGCACTTTATGCATCTGAAGCCCTCATTCTCTGGTATGGAGCACACCTAGTAAGCAAAGGTGTTTCCACATTCTCCAAGGTGATCAAGGTTTTTGTGGTACTGGTTGTCACAGCAAATTCTGTGGCTGAAACTGTTAGTCTTGCTCCTGAGATCATCAGGGGTGGTGAAGCTGTTGGTTCTGTCTTTTCAATTTTGGATCGTTCAACCAGGATCGATCCAGATGATCCTGAGGCAGAGCCAGTTGAATCAGTTCGTGGGGATATTGAACTTAGACATATTGATTTCGCATATCCTTCACGACCTGATGTCTCCGTGTTTAAGGACCTAAACCTTAGAATCCGTGCTGGCCAAAGCCAGGCACTTGTTGGGGCTAGTGGCTCTGGAAAAAGTTCAGTCATTGCACTCATTGAACGATTCTATGATCCAACAGCTGGAAAGGTTATGATTGATGGAAAAGATATCCGGAGATTGAACTTGAAGTCCCTTAGGCTTAAAATTGGATTGGTGCAGCAAGAGCCAGCCCTCTTTGCAGCAAGCATCTTTGACAACATTGCCTATGGAAAAGAAAGGGCAACTGAAGCTGAAGTAATTGAGGCAGCCCGTGCAGCTAACGTGCATGGCTTTGTTAGTGGATTGCCTGATGGCTACAAAACACCAGTTGGTGAGAGAGGTGTTCAGCTTTCGGGTGGCCAGAAACAAAGAATTGCGATTGCTAGGGCTGTGCTTAAGGACCCAACAATCCTACTCCTTGATGAGGCCACAAGTGCACTTGATGCAGAATCAGAGTGTGTTCTACAGGAAGCACTAGAGAGGCTCATGCGGGGTCGCACCACCGTCCTTGTGGCTCATCGTTTGTCAACAATAAGAAATGTGGATTGCGTTGGAGTTGTTCAAGATGGGCGCATCATAGAACAAGGCAGCCACTCTGAGCTGATTAGCCGAGCCGATGGGGCCTACTCAAGGCTCTTGCAACTACAGCACCACCACATATGAAGAGTTTTGATTGAAGAAACATGGCCTTGCTGGGTGGTAAATTATGTTTGGGTCCCATTAACCTTATATTTCCATCTTTTCTTTTTCTGAATGATGATGATAGTTGTAGATATGGGAATGTGGAGTCTGTATCTTGAGAAACGGCTGCCCCATTTCCAATGGGATAGCAAAGTGTTAAATTATTGATATCTATGGTGCATGAGCCCCTTTTGTCTGTCTGTTATTTTATGTCACTAGTTGGCTCCCCTTTGTTATAATAAAATACTAAAATTGCAATCCCTGGACACCACCTTTCCATGCCTTGGGGGAAACATCCTTTTCTTTCTTGATCTAGCTTTTCACTGCATGTGTTAGCTATGGGGTTCTTTTTCAGTTTTAGACAAGGCCGGCCATCTCTTTTTAAGGCTTTGAAGCCCCACATCATGTACTGGATGTTCATAATGCAGCAAAAACTACTCTGCTCTTTTTTAACATAATGGAGAAACATTCATTTCTGGCCTATGGAATGAATTATTGTAAAGCAAAAAGATATTATTGATGCAAAAGCTCAAAGTACATGCTGAGAAAATGGGTATCATCACATGCTAATAAAGGACCTAACTTTTGGGCAAATCCCCTGATTCTATCCCTAAATTTGGGTACTCTTTTCTTCAAGTTTGGGCACTTTCATGTCATAAAGGTCAAAAGAATCCCAGAAAAGAGATGGGAACCTCCAAACTTTCAAAGTTCACTGCTATTTTCATTTTCCAAGTAAGGTTGTGGGGGTCAAGGAGAAGATAGAAACAGAGAGATTTCAGAGAGAAGATGAATGGGCCATGCATAGATGTTGACTTAAAAGATAAA